CTTCTGGAGCGCTAGTTAGAGCCCCTAAACTTAGCTCTGCCCTGCAGGCATCATTTCCCAAGGCCTGGGACCATCTTCCCTGGTTCTCAGCCTCCCTCCGAAGGGGCCCAAGTGTCATCCTTGCCAGCCAACTTGAGGATGTCATCCTTGTCACCAGGCCTCTTTCCAGACTCTTGCTGGGCCAGGAAGTCTCTGCTCCCTTCATTTCCATAGTTAGGACAAGGATGGCTCCCACTGTAGAGGAGTGCTGAAGCAGGTGGAGGTGCGGAAAGCCATCCTCCATGTGTCTGTGGGCAGCCTGATGTTAGTTGATTCTGCGCAGGTGGGCACCAGCTGGTTCTCAGTCCTCCCAGGCCACCTGCTTGCAGTGTGCAGATGATGGACCAGGAACACAGCAGAGGTCACTGACCCCCAAGAGAATGAGGGTGTTGCATGACCCATTACCAAGACCCAGGTGGCCTGCATCGTGGTGAGGGCAGGACGGGGCCACATTGGTGCAGGGCTGTGTGCTGGAGGGCAGCAGGAAAGGGCCAATTTCTATCCTGGTGGGGTCTTTCCGCTCTGTTTCCTCTTCTGTAAACCATGTTCCTGATGTGAGCATGCACAGTTGCCTGCCTGTCTCTCCCTTTGCTGAGCCATCATCTCCATCTAAAAAGCCACTGACCCTTAGAGCATTCACTTCTTAACCTCTGCCGTCCTGCTGTGGCCTCACCTGTGCCCAGGACTGCTCATCCAGTGGCTGTATCTGAGGCCTCATCTCATCTGAGTCCAGTGGGGTGTCCTAGCAGTGTTCTCCCTCTGGCTGCTTGGCAGGATCCTTCATGGACTCATTCGTTCAGCCTCATAGGTCAGCCCCCACCTCTGCTGCTCACTGTGCACAGGGCACCTTCCACATTCAGTCCTGAAGTAGCAGGTATGTGGGAGGGGTGCCTGCTCCTAGAGAGAGGCCTTTGGGTTCTTAGTTTTGTATCTCCAGCACGGTTGGTCCCGTGTGCTGCATGCCCTTCTTGATGCCAGCTGCCATCTCCCTGCTGATGGTGCCTGCATCCCTCTAGCCTAGAGCTCCAGCTGCCTCCGGAGCCCGGTGCCACACTGTCGCTCAAGCTCAGTGCTGTGTAGCAAGATGTCGTCTTGTCTCCAATCTGTCCCACCTGCATTTCACATATCTGAGAAGGGAGCCCCAGGCCGGGCACAGTGGCTTACACCTGTAATCCCAGCACTTTGGGAGGCCGAGGCGGGCAGATCACCTGAGGTCAGGAGTTCCAGATCAGCCTGACCAACATAGTGAAACCCTGTCTCTACTAAAAATACAAAAATTAGCCGGGCGTGGTGGCGCATGCCTACAATCACAGCTACTTGGGAGGCTGAGGCAGGAGAATTGCTTGAACCCGGGAGGCAGAAGTTGCGGTGAGCTGAGATCACTCCATTGCACTCCAGCCGGGGGAGCAAGAGTGAAACTCTGTTTCAATAAAAAAAAAAAGTGGGGGAGCCCCTTGCATACGGTCACCCAGCCCCATCCCCAGTTGTCCTAGGCTGTTTCCTCCTCTCCGTCACTTCCTGCCCTCCTTAGGGCCTGTATCTTTGCTTGTTTTCATAGCAGACAGGTGTCTAGTGCCTGGTGCTCCTCCTGCACCCGCTCCCCCACCAACTCTAGGGGCCAAAGCAGCTTTAATTAAAGGCAAAGTTGATTTCATCACTCCCTGTTTACAAACCCCAGAAGATTCCATTCCCATTGAGGGAATCCACGCGTCTCAGCAGATGCTTCCAGTCCCTTTTGGAAAGAAATGAGGTATAAAGAGAATGAACTGGAGTCTTGCAGACTAGAGGGGAGCTAGATAAGGAAATGGGGACCATAAGCACAAGGACCCTCTTCCTAGGTGGGGTGGAGAGGGCATAAGGATGGCAAGACCTATTTACATCCTTGCCAGCTCCCTGGCTGGGAACATAGTAAATATCTTTGTTGATGGGGTGTGAGGAGGAGCTAAGTAGACCAGGCTCTGGGCCTGGTTTCCTTGGAGAGGGGAAAATGAAAGTGCTGACACGTAAACTCCCGACTCCGGAGTCTCCGACACCCTGCATCCATGGATCTGCAGGGCAGGCATCACCCCACCAGCCTGGGTGAGCCTCCTGGGGCTGGGCTTGGCCAAAGGCTGCCAGGTTGGAAAGCTGAGCTTGGAAGACGTCTGTTGTTTTCCTTTCTGTCAAATGCAGAGTAGGGGCAAAACATCATTATTTTACTTTTTCAGTAACCACTCACAATCTGTCCTTATTAATTTTGGGGTGTTTCTTTTTTTTTTTTTTTTTTTTTTTGAGACAGAGTTTCCCTCTTGTTACCCAGGCTGGAGTGCAATGGCGCGATCTCGGCGCACCGCAACCTCCGCCTCCTGGGTTCAGGCAATTCTCCTGCCTCAGCCTCCTGAGTAGCTGGGATTACAGGAACGCGCCACCATGCCCAGCTAATTTTTTGTATTTTTAGTAGAGATGGGGTTTCACCATGTTGACCAGGATGGTCTCGATCTCTTGATCTCGTGATCCACCCGCCTCGGCCTCCCAAAGTGCTGGGATTACAGGCTTGAGCCACCGCGCCCGGCCAGGGGTGTTTCTTTTTTAAACAGTTATTTTAAATTCTTTTTTATTTTAATTCTTTTTTAAACAGCAAGCTGGCACCATGCTGTTTGGCACATTTACCGGTGCTGTTTGTTGATCTCTGTCCAGTTGAGGCCAGAGCAGAAGAGCTTGCTTTGGCGGGCAGTGAGGTGGTGGGGGCAGGGCTGTGGGGCCTGACCAGGCCACTTACCCCAGCCTTCCCTGTCCATTTGCTACCTTGACCTCAGTTTCGTCCTTTAGGACAAAAGGTCAACTTCTTAGGGTCTACAGCTCCAACAAGAGGCACCAGTTGGCCCAAATCTGGAACAAGTTTGAATTAATTGCTGTTAGAAAGAATCGTAGTAATACTGAGTGACGCAGACAAGGCACTGTCTACTTCTATTTGCATGCATATACATTGGTTATCCCAGGAAGAAAACAAAAGAAACTCGTGATGGTGGTTACCTATTGTCTATTCAAAAATAACTGCTTAAAAAAGAAACACCCCAAAATTAATAAGGAGAGATTGTGAGTGGTTACTGAAAAAGTAAAATAATGATGTTTTGCCACTACTCTGCATTTGACAGAAAGAACTGGTAACATTAGGCCCAAATCCATCCAGCATGGCCCTGACCAGCTGGTGCCAGTCTGGGCTGACCCCCTTGGGTTGGCTTTTGTGGTCTGTGTCCCAGACTTTGGTCTTTAGGTCTTGCCTGGCCGAGATTGTTGGTTCTCGTGGTAAAAACGGGGTCACTCCCTGCGGTCACCTGCTGCATGGGACACAAACTGCTGCCTGCTAACTATTTGTCTCTCTTCAGGGACTGGCTGGCTTTGAGCAGGGCATCAGAACCAGGTCTCCTGGCACTGGCCCCGGGGAGAGTGGAAGGTGCCTGCTTCGGGGCGAGCACCAGCTGATCCCCAGTGGAACCCTGTGACAGTCCTGCCAGGGCCCAGGCCATCCCAACCGACTTCCATCTCATGGAGCCTTCAGGTGAGAAGCCAGGAGAGGCTGGTGGGCTGCGAGTCACACCCCAGCTGCTGAAGTCACGCACAGGCGAGTTCTCCCTGGAGTCCATCCTGCTGCTGAAGCTGCGTGGCTTGGGGCTGGCCGACCTGGGCTGCCTGGGAGAGTGCCTGGGCCTGGAGTGGCTGGACCTATCCGGGAACGCGCTCACCCACCTGGGCCCACTGGCCTCCTTGCGCCAGCTGGCCGTGCTCAATGTCTCCAACAATCGGCTGACGGGCCTGGAGCCACTGGCCGCCTGTGAGAACCTGCAGAGTCTCAATGCCTCGGGCAACCTACTGGCCACCCCGGGCCAACTGCAGTGTCTGGCTGGGCTGCCGTGCCTTGAGTACCTGCGGCTCCGAGACCCTTTGACCCGGCTCAGCAACCCACTCTGTGCCAGCCCCTCCTACTGGGCTGCAGTCCGGGAGCTGCTGCCTGGCCTGAAAGTCATCGATGGTGAGCGTGTGATGGGGCGGGGTAGTGAGTTCTACCAGCTGTGCCGGGACCTGGACAGCTCCTTACGTCCCAGTTCCAGTCCAGGCCCCAGAGCCACTGAGGCCCAGCCCTGGGTGGAGCCGGGCTACTGGGAGTCCTGGCCCAGCCGGAGTGGCTCCATCCTGGAGGAGGCCTGCAGGCAGTTCCAGGACACGCTGCAGGAGTGCCGGGACCTGGACCGCCAGGCCAGCGACAGCCTGGCCCAGGCCGAGCAGGCACTCGGCTCCGTGGGTCCCACCTCTTCCTTTGTCTTCTGAATGCAGCTGTGGCCCAGGACAGCCAGGTGACCTTGCTGCCCACAGCTCCCCTCCCTGCCTCCACACTCGTCTTGGTTTCTTCACACTGGCCACTGGCCCTGCCTGCTGGGCTATTCCTTTATCCCTGTCCTGAGGGAAGCCCCTCCCCACCCTCCCTCCACGTGCTGCAAGGACGCACTGAGGGGCCTTGAAAGGTGTAAAGGCCCCCACCACCTGTGAGCCTGTGTCCACAGCTGCTGCCACTTCGGGCTGCTCCAGCCTGAGACTTAGTGGAAGGAATTACTTCCTCCTGAGGCTACAGGTGAGAAAGGTAGGGATGGGCCAGCCTCCACTCCCAGCTGCTGGGAGAGTAGGCAGGCTGAGTGGCCAGCGCACTCCTGGAAGCAGAGCTCTCCCGCCTTGCAAATATGCCTCTCCAGGCTGGTCCTGTATTTCCTGGGCACCTTCTCTGCCTGTTCTCGCCTGCACATCTATTAAATGCTCCTGTTTTCATTTGCATCCCTGCCTGGCATTTCATGGGGACATCTCTGCCTCTGGAGCACAGGCCCTCCTCACCCTGCCCGTGGCTTCCTGGGGTCTCACAGGAAGGGTCCTGTCCCCCTGCCTTCTCTGGCCGCCTCCAAGGAGGAAGGCATGCAATGCAAGGAGCCAAGAGGCAGCTGGGAGAGCAGCTTTATTATCATGGCTGGGGATAGAATGGGGTCTTCTCTCTGGGAGCTGGGGTCTTCCACTGGTTAGCACTGGCAGTGGTCCTGTAGGTGCCATGCAGCTCTAGACAAAAGGGGAAGCGGGTTTGAGGGTGAGGGAGGCTGCTTTGGCCCCAGTCCCAGCTTTCCTCCCAGGCTCCCGAAGCCCAGCCCAGCCCCCTAGCATTCCCAGAGCTGGCCCCATCCACACAGTGCCCCTTGCCCCTGGTGCCTACCAGTGCTGGGCAGGCCCACGGAGAAGAGCAGCATTTCCAGGGAAGCCGAAGCTGTTGGGGTCCTCGCCAGCCCGCTGCACCTTGATGCACTGGTTCTCCTGGTATTCCTTAGGCTCCTGCCAGTACCCACAACTGTTCAGGCAGTGTGGGAGGGGTGGGCAGTGTCCAGGAGAGTGGGGCAGGCAGTGCTGGTGGAGGGTTGCCAGCATCCTAGGCAGGGACCAGCTCTATATCCCCTGGAGAATGTCCGGACCAGGCATAGCACCTTCTAGCCTCCACTTCCCTCTCTCCCAATCCGGCCAAACTTCTGTCTTGTAACTGGCCCGTAGTCTGAGATTCCATCCATCTTCCCAGACCCATCCCAACCTCTCTGCAGCTTTGCCCCTTCTTACCCGCAGAACCTGTGTCTTTGTGGGGCAGTGGATCATCCGGCCCAGAACCTCATTCTCAAAGCCCAGTTTGATGCAGGCCAGGCATTTCCGCTTCCTCTGGGGAGGGGAGCAAAGGGTGAGCAGAGGAGAGGGGTGAGGGAGGCCTGGGCATCATGAGGGTGGGAGCCAGGGCTGCCCATGATGGGACCAGCTCCCAGCTAGGCCCTCGAGCCCAGGGGTGAGGGGTCATGCAGGCCAGCGGGTTTCAGGCACAGTCCAACCCAGAATGTTGGAAGCCAGACCCATGCAGCTTTCGAACTATGGAAATTTCGTGTGTGTGCAGGCAGGAATCCTTCCCAGATGGGTTGTCTGTGGTTTGTGTGCAGGAGTGTGGGGGATGGGTGTGCCTGTGCTAGTGCAAAGGCAAGAATCCTCCTCCGATGGGTTCTTCCCACCCAACTCCTCCAGAGCGCCTCAACTGTCACCTATTCTATTTACATTTTCTTGTAAGATTTGATTTGAGGTTGGTGAATCATTGCTATAATCCAGCGCCCTCCTTGAGCCGACAGAGAGAACTGGGGCCTTTACAGAACCTGTAATATAGAGCCCAGGTGGTGCTCACAGAGCGGGAACTAGAACAGTCACTGTAGTCCCAGCCCAGGCATCGCCCCCACGGTGGTGGGTTTGCCCCCACCGTGACTGATGACTGGAGCCTGGCTAGTCTACAAGGGCACCCCAGACACCCCCACAGCGGGCACCTTCCACCCAGGCCCTGAAGCTTGAGAGAGGAAGTCAGAGGTGAGCCCTGCTATGATGAAGGTAAGTCCAGGGGTAACCAAACCCTTTCCCTGCCTGCCAGGCCCCAGCTCGACCACCCTCACAGCCTGGGGCTGAGGCTGAGCCATTCCACCTTTCAGGAGGCTCGTCACTCTCATACCCCTTCACTCACCCCATTGGGCTTGACTTTGCAGTGGGGCTTCTTCCAGTCCTCCTTCCGGCAGTCTGTCTGCTGGAGCTTAAATTCCAGCCTCACAAATATTCCAGCTGGGAAGGGCTGTGGACAGGCAGGCAGAGGATGGCCAGTGGCCAGCTGAGCATCCAGAGCAAGCCCTGGTGCCCGTGCCTCCCTCACGCAGTCAGGATAGCCTCCCAGCAGGCTACACTGGGGCCTTTCTCCAGAGGGCTGGGCGCTCAGAGCCCATGCACTTCTGTCCTGCTTCCTGGGAATGGGCCTGTCTCCCAGGTGCGACCCTCCCTTCTGCAGGGGCCATGCTACTCACCATGTCCTCAGCGCTGTACACACAGATCTTCTGGAAGGCCCACTGCACGGGGGGGTGCTTGTGGAATTCCTCCAGGGCCACCTGCAGGCCCTGCTGCTGGGCTTCTGTGAGCCCGGTGCTGCCCACGCCCACCGCGTCCAGCCACAGGGCCAGCAAGATCAGCAGTCGTCGCATGCTTCCGTGTCACCCCGGTCCTGCGAAGCGGGTGTGCGCCCCTCAGTTCTCCGATCCAGCCCAAACCACCTCCTCCCATGCCCTGCCCTGGGGAGCCAGGCCAGCAGAACCCTGGGCAGAGGTACAAGGAGCTGGGAAATGGCTCTTTGTCCAAATTGGCCTTGGGGTCTGCCTGGTCCTGTCCCTTACCTTCCACCCTGCCTGCGCTGTTTCCTGGGGCCTGCAGTTTTAGCAAAGTTCCCTGCCATGCCGAGAATCAATCCTCTCCCCGCTCCCACCCTCCACCCCTCATCTGGCCCACTGTCTCTCCCTAGGTCTCCGGCAGGACCCCCTCTCTGCTTTCCCCTCTCTGCTTTCCCAGCTCAGCTTCTCCCCAACCGCTACTCCCTCTCCCTCTAGAATCCCCCTGCTCCCATGGGGTGCCCCCACCCTCCCGGCCTAGGCAGCCTTGGGGAAAGGGCAAGGGCCTGGACCCAAACACGTGGGAGGGCCCGGCTGGGTGGAGGCCGCGGGAGGCCTAACCCTCCCGGCACCAGGGCTGCCGTGGCCACCAGCCCACCCCAGTCGTTAGGAATGGGGGGGTCTCACCCCCCAGCCCTTAGCTTTCCCGCTTCAGGCAAAATCTTCCTTCCGTCCTCTTTTTTTCTGGGGCCTTCCCCACGACCCCTCTCCCAGCCTTTCTGATCCGTTCCCTGATGCATGACTGGGGCCACCCAGAGGGGCTGACCCTCCCGGAGAGCCCCGTCCGTCCTGGGACCCGAAAGCCACAGATGTGGAAACCGAGGCCCCTCAGTGAAGAGCTGCCAGGGCCGTTGCCTTAGCGCAAAGGCGTTCCTCATTCCGCCGGCGCAGCTGCCCCTCTGCCCGGTGGCCGCCCCAGCCCGCTTCCCCTCCTCACGTCCTTCCTTGCGCCTGGAGGTCTCCCCTGACCGTCCCGCAGCTGAAATCTTGGCCTCGCAGCCTGCCTCTTCCCGCTCTTCTCGCGGGCGGTCCCCACCTCCTCCCACCCCCACTTCCTGGGCCCCCTCCAGCAACTCCGGCTCCTCCCCACCCGACGTGGACTGGCCATCTCGGGGCTGGAAGCCCTCCTGCGCCCTCCCGCGTCTTCCCGCCCCATCCCACCCTCCTCCCTCCCCTCCGTCCAACCCTCATGACCCTGACCCTGGCCGAGGCTGCAGGCGGCTCGCCCGGGCGCGCAGCCCTCGGTCCCACCTCCCCCTGGCTCAGGTCCGGCATTCCGCGGTCTCGGCTGGCCTGGGCCCCTTCTCTGTGGCTGTGCTCCCCTAAGGGCTTTCTGCACCCCACTCCTGCCCAGGCAGGGCTGCCCTGTCTTGGGTCCTTTATGGGGGACCATTCTGTAGCGTCCCTGAGACACTCATCCTGGGAATTCTTTCCCGAAATAGAGACATCCTCAAACTAAAGGAGACCTCGAGGAGGTCCCTCCCCCTGTCCCCACCTCCCACTCCCTGAGCCACACTGAGAGGGAAGGTCTCTCCTTTAGGGAGGGCTCTGGTACCTGCAACCTTGATCGACAGCAAAGATGTCCAGTGTGGATCCTGCCTCTGTCTTTCCTGACCGTTCCTTGTGTCCCATTTTCCGTGGGATGGACTCTCATGGGGAGTCGGGGAGCTTTTGCCTGTGGCTGAGCGGCATGATGGAATTCATATGGTGAACGGAAACTCAAGGAAAACTGTCCAAATACCGGCTGGATTCCCGGGTACGCTGGAGCAAGGACGAGGAAGCTCTGGGACTTTGCACATCAGTAACCACCACCAGCATGCCTCTAGTTCCCACACTGCACTGATGGCCTCAAGTAGAGGATCTCATGTAACTTCATGGCTCTCTCTGAGCTTCTGTTTCTTTATCTGTAAGATGGGCATCAGAAACTCTGTCTTGAGGAGTTGTTTTGAGGATTAAATGAGGAAACACGAAAAGCAACTGGTGTCCAGTGTGGGGTACAGGCTTTTGTCCCCTCCTTACGCACCCGGCCAGGATTCTCCACTTAGAGCTGAGAGCTTCCTTTACAGTGTGCTCTGGGGCACCAGAAGGAAACTCGGCTTCCATTAGCCACTGCCGGGTGCCTGAAATACCACTACTGGCATTTCACTCCCTAGCTATGAGCTCCTCAGTTGTCCTTAAACAGAGATAAGAGAGGGGATCCATGTTCCCTGAAAGCTTTAGATGGGGTTAGAGAGAAGAGATGCACCGAAAGACGTTTCCCAGCCCAAGAACTTGAAGAAAACTGAAGTATTTCACCCCAAAATATACTTATTTGACACATTTCAAAGTGGCTGTTCAGAATGGCTGGAAATAGAATAACCAAAAGCTGATTTTGTGGAGAGATTGGCATCTATAGAGGAAATCTGCATTGATGTAGCTAGGCTTTCTCTGAGACCCTCCCTTGTCTGGATCTAGGAAAGATGAACTGAGAGTCTGACACCTTTACAGGTCTGAAAGAAACATTTACTGTCTATTCTTTCCAAGGACTGCTACCTATGAGGTGTCATTACATAACAAGACTGCCTTTGCTAACCAGGCTTCGTCTTCCACCCCACCCATAACCTGTCTTGCCACTATTTAAGCCCCCATCTTTGTATAAACTCAAGACGGCAGATAAACTTCTGTATCCCATTGAGGGGTTGGGGTAATCGCTCTGTGTTCTCTCCCATGCATGTCAATGAATATTTCCTATTAAAGCTGAGGCAGGAGGATCACTTGCACCCAGGAGTTCAAGGGTGCTGTCAACTATGATTGGGAAACTGTACTTCAGCCTATCTGGACAGAATAAGACCCTATCTCTAAAATATAAATAATTTATTAATCTGCCTTTCATCAGTTGACTTTTCAGCAAAACTTCAGAAGGCAAAGGGGAAGTTTTCCTTTGCCCCCCCAGAGACCCATGCTGGGGGATGCTGGGGGATGTCCTGAGGATGGATGAGGAGAGAAATCTTCCAGGACAAGGTGGGACTTGAGCTGAGCAAAGCAGGAAAGTCATCCTGCCTGGGGGCTGGGGGGAAAGTTGCATCACACCTGTCGCAGGGGAGGTGAGGTGGTTGAGGTGGGGAGGTAGGTTGGGAACAGGTTGGTGGGAGATGGTGAGGGAGGAGCCAGTCTGGCTGTACTTCAGTGGCCACACAAAATTCACTGTGGGTGTAGTTATGTGAGGTGCACCCCAAGGAGGTGGACAGTCCTACTGCAGAGCACTCATGACGTGTGAAAGGACTACTTAAGCATATTCATGAGCTCAGCTCCAGGTAACACGTCCTGATCCAGGGGGGCAAAACAGGATTTAACCATTTAATGATGGTTAATGATCTTCCCAGTCATCACAGCTAAAAATGTAGACTCACATATCCAAGTTGTTCCAAGCTTAGTTTTCCAATAACTGAACTGAGTACCAAAAAACATTGTCCTTTAATATTTGCAAACACATTGACAAAAATAGTTTATTTCTTTTGGAAGAAGTGATTTGACTTTGAAGCAAGAGCATATCGGTTGCAAAACTACACCTATCCAAGTTAAGTGCATCTGCCAACTTGTGCCATTTTGGTACCATTAACACAAACTCAAAATGGATATTGCATACATTCAAAAGCCACTCTAAATTTATCAACATCAACTGAGTATTCTTCAAATTTTTCTTGAAATATAGCCAATTTACATAATGCTGTATAATTAAAACCTCTGTATGTTGATTCTTGTGACAAAAGTATGTAAATTGTAATTATTTGTTACTATTATGAAAATATTTAATTTGAAACACTTATGTTTTCTGGCTAGATAACAATGAAATTTCCTTTCCTTGGATATTCAAATTTAGCCCAGTTATACATAATGTGATATTGGTGAGAAAACACTGATCTTTTTTATTTTTAATTATTAAATATTTGGGCTGAGAGTAGTGACTTATGCCCATAATCCCACCACTTTGGGAGTCCAAGGTGGGTGGATCACTGAGCCCAGGAGTTCAAGACCAGCCTGGGCAACATAGAGAGATCCTATCTTTACAAAAAGTTTAAAAAATTAGCTGAGTGTGGTGGCACAAGTCTGTGGTCCCAGCTACTCAGGAGGCTGGGATGGGAGGATTGCTTGAGTCTGGAAAGTCAAGGTTGCATTGAGTTATGATCACACACTGCATGACCCTCCCATCTCGGCCTCCCAAAGTACTGGGATTATAGGCTCGAGTCACCGCTGTCAGCCTTGGCCACAGAGCAAGACCTTGTCCACAAAACAAATAGTAATAATACTTACTATTGTATATTTGGTAATCATGGCTCCTGTTTCAGGAAAATCTTGGAGTTAGTTAAAAGTACAGTAAATCTTATAATAACTCTTCCACAACCCCGGCAATGAGCTTTGACAAAAGACATTAAGTTCATTATCTTTCGTGGCTTTCAACAGTTCCATAAAGCCAGCAATGATTCATAGCATTTCCCCTTAAATACTGAGTTAAACAGCTGTAGTCATGAGACTTGTATAGAATTAATTTCATAAAATCGAGCACAAATATCTTCAATAGGTACCCTGAAGTGAAATAAGGCAACATGAGAAGGATCAATTTCTTCTTTTAGCGTTCCAGTAAATACCTCAGTCACACCAGCCGCATGGCAAGTATTCCTAAGCCTGTGGCTGGGGCTACCATATTGGATAGTGCAGGTAGAGCGTGTGTTACCAATTATGTGAGTAAAACTAAAACTAAAAATGAACAAATTTATGTGTTTGTAAATGCATGGAATATTTCCAGAAGGGAAAAACAAGAAGCCTGTAACAGCGTTTGCCCTCGAGGAGAGGATCTTTCCAGCTGGAGAAAACAGAGGCAGGAAAACTATGTTCCCTTTGTACTTTTACATTTTTATAACTTGTGGATAAATTGTCTATTAAAATACAAAAATGATTTTTAAAACTTTTTTTTGAGGCAGGGTCTTGCTCTGTCACTCAGGCTGGAGAGCCGTGGCCCTATCTGGCTCATTGCAGCCTTGACCTCCTGTGCTCAAGCAATCCTCCCATCTCAGCCTCCCAAGCAGCTTAGACCACAGGTGCATGCCACCATCCCAGGCTAAGTTTTTTTTTTTTTTGTAGAGACAGGGTTTTGTCACATCACCCAGACTGGTCTCAAGCTTGTTCTGGGTTTAGCGATCCACCCACCTTGGACTCTCAACGTGCTGAAATTACAGGCTTGAGCCACCTTGCCTGGCCTTAAAACTTTTAAAATCAGAAAACAAACCAATAGCATTTTCTTTTCTCTTCTTTTTTTTTTTTTGACAAAGTCTTACTCTGTTGCCCAGGCTGGAGTGCAGTGGCACAATCAGAGCTCACTGCAGCCTCTGTGTTCTAGGCTCAAGTGATCCTCCTGCCTCAGCCTCCCAGTAGCTAAGACTACAGGACCACTCACCCAGCTAGGTTGTTTTATGTTCAAGGAGAGGAGATCTTGTTATGTTGCCGGTAGGGTCCTGCCCTACAGGGTCCTGTGAACCCCTCTACTGGTGTGGAGATGAGAAACTGTGGAAATAAAGACGCAAGATACCGAGATCAAAAGAAAGAGAGTTCAGGCCCAGGGGTCCACTGCCAACCAAAGCGCAGAGTCCGGCAGTGGCCCCGGGTGTCCGCATACTCTGACTTATTGAGTACAAAGCGGGCAAGGTAGACAGGGTGAGGCATTGGTGGTCAGTGGTAGGGTCAAGTACATTACGTGTCAGGGATGGGGGCCCAGGACTTTCAAGCCGAGATGAGGGAAGGTGCATAATGCATCAGCACTTTTCCATACTTGTCAAGACAGAACAAAGACATTAAGATTTATGTTACTTTTACTGATCCTATCTTCTAAGAAAAAGAGGAACCAGGTGCAGAAGTGGAACATGAAAGTAGACATGGAACGTGACCGCTGAAGCACAGCACCACATAGAGACGATTAACTCCCCAGATGTCTGCGGGTTTCCCTGACAGCCGTCAGGCCCACCGCAAGAGCTTGGGGTAGCGGAATTTTCTCTTCACTCCTCCGGGGAAGGAG